TAAGTTTTATCATATATGTAGGAGAGAGCAGTGAGGACTACGGACCAGGTGATCCAGGTTTCAGACGGGAAAAAACTCAGGGATGAGCCGGGCAGCGGTATCACATGCCTTTGATTCCAGCGCTCCGGAGGCAGAGACAGGCGGATCTCTGAGTTCGAGGCCAGACTGGTTTACAGAGGGAGTTGTAAGACAGCCAGGTCTACACAGAGAAATCCTGTCTCGGGTGGGTGAGGGGAGGAGGGAGAAAAGAAAGAAAAAAAAGCACTCTGGGATGAGATAATTGTGGATGAGGCTTGATAAAGAAAACATGGGGGCCCGCTGTTGGTGGCACACACCTTTAATCCCAGCACTCGGGAGGCAGAGGCAGGCGGATCTCTGTGAGTTCGAGGCCAGCCTGGTCTACAGAGCGAGTTCCAGGACAGCCTCCAAAACAATACAGAGAAACCCTGTCTCGAAAAACCAAAAAAAAAAAAAAAGGGGGGGGGCTTTCTGTTTGTACCATTACAATGTACCTGTTATAAATACTTCCAGTACTGTTACAAGGTGTTTAAAAGTACTTCAGTCTGAGTTCTGAGTCAGTGTGTACGCTGGGATTTACTAGAGGAGATGAAGCAGGCAGGTAAGCCATTGAGGAGGCCTTGGCAGTGGCCTGGACTCCTGGGAGATGGTGTGTGTAGCTGATGCAGTGCCTGAAGCTTCAAGACTAGACTGGAGAATCAGTTTGAAGACTTAGGAGGTGACAGTGGTTTAATATGGGAACGGATAAAGTAGAAGGAAAATGCACACGGGCACCTGGCTTGGTAACGCCTCTTATTAATGCCAATAAAGGATCCCACTTATCTCTCTTAATAGGCCATGTTGGGAAACAGTGAGTCACTGGGTTAGGTGGTGGTTGCAGGGATTGAAAGAAGCAACCAGTGTAGATCATTTTACATATGTGCTGTTGCTGGGAACACAGCAGTGAGCAGAACAGAAATCAGTTGGTGTCTATAGAAGTTATAGAGAACAGGTAGGTGTGTGATATGTAAAGATAACAGAGGTAATACATACAGATATACAAGAAGCAGGAAATAGACACTATCGAGAAGGGACACAGCTTTGGGTAGGGTTTTCAGGGGAAATGTCACTGAAGATGTCGGGGAAGTTAGATGAATCATGACTACCACCTGGGCCAGGAGCTCTTTGGGGAAGTGTAGTACTATTTATCTGGATAGACGTAGCCCATACAGCAGGAGCCTGGTCGAGGGCCACAGCTTAAGAGATGGGTCTGGGAGGCTTCTGGGGTAAGTGCTCTGAGATGCCCAGTGGATTTTAAGGATCAGCACTCTGAAGATAGTTGACAGGTGGCCAGGAAGTTAGGTGATATCAGTGATGGAGTGAATGTTCTTAAAAACTGAAAACAGAACTCTACAATGTCTCCTCAGAGTGCCAAATGCTAAACCGAGACGTGGAAGGAAATCTGGGATTGGGTTCCAGAAGCCAACTAACAGGACTCCAAATAGAGTGTGGAGCTGGTGGGGTGGGGTGGCCAAGTGTGTGCCATGTTTGTACATTTGCTTCAGGAGGCAGTGTCCTGAGTGGTGAGGAGGGTGGAGTCTGCAGGCCTGTCATGGCAGAAGGGAAGCAGCATCCAGGTGCAGGTGCTTTTAGGTGGGTGTGGTCAGCCTTAGGCCTTTGGCAAAGCTTCCTAATGATTTATTGCATGTGTGTAGGAGCTAGAGGAAGGGCAGCCTGTTGGAGAGTTGAGGTGAGCCCGCCGATGTGAAGTGGAGGGTGGGGACTCTACAGGGCAGGGCCACAGCACCCGGAGGTCCTCAGAATTGGCTCATAACTTCTGTGAGGTCAAAGCCGTCCTCAGTTCTAAGAGGCTTGTTTTGGCCGGGCTTTGGTGGCGAACGCCTTTAATCCCAGCACTCGGGAGGCAGAGGCAGGAGGATCTCTGTGAGTTCGAGACCAGCCTGGTCTACAGAGCGAGTTCCAGGACAGCCTCCAAAGCCACAGAGAAACCCTGTCTCGAAAAACGGGAAAAAAAAAAAAAAAAAAAAAAGAGGCTTGTTTTGCAGGCGTGCAGTCTCTGGATCACAAGCATCAGGAGCACCAGAGAAGTCAACTGTTTTCTTTTAAATCAGACACTGGAAACTACAACGCCACTTGGTTTTTGTTTACATTACTATATCTCTTGGTAAAATTATTCGTGTCAATATGTAATGTATTTATTTTTAAATGGAGAACTTAAAATCGAGACTATATGGCCTGTCTAGCTTAAGGTTTCTATTGCTGTGATGAACCACAGACCAATATCCTGGGTTCATCAACGGAGGCAGCCGAGGCAGGAAGGGAAGCAGAGCTGGTTGCTGGTCTTCCCTGGCTTTCTCAGCTGGTTGTTTGTTTGTTTCCTTGAGACAGGCTTTCCCTGTGTTGCTGCTTTGGAGCCTGTCTTGGAACTAGCTCTGGTAGACCATGCTGGTCTCGAACTCAACAGAGATCCCCCTGCCTCTGCCTCCCAGGTGCTGGGATTAAAGGTGTGCAGCACCACTGTCCAGCCAGTATGCTTTCTTATACACACTACAACTACCTGCCTGGGGTGGCACCACCCACAGGGGACTCACATCAACTGGTAACTGATCAAGAAAATGCCTCTTAGACTTATCTGCAAGCATGTTTTATGAGATTGCCTCTTCCCAGTTGTCTAGATTTATATTGACAGAGATCAACCAGTACACTATATAAATAAATACAATAGGTTTTGCATGGATTAGACACAAAACTCCCAGTTACCAATAACGTATTGGTGTTGCATTAAGAAAAGAAATAAAAACACTTCCCCTTAGTGTCATTTAAGCAAGAGCAAGTCCAGAGTTGGAGTCTCTACTTCATGTTCCCTGTGTCCTCCCTCCATCCTGTCTGACTGTTGCATGAGTCTCCATCTCTGCCTGCCTGAAGGCTGTCTTGTGAATCTGTCCCTGTCCCTGTGTTCTGTTTCTGTCCTTCACAAGGGGTTTCACTGTCTTTATTGAACAGCACAAGCAGCATCACATGGGGAAAGAAGAAGGGATACTGTACAGAAATCTGTAACAGTTTTTTGCAAGGGATTCAGTTCCTGGCTCCAGCTGATCCCAACTGACCAAGACAACAAACAGCATCACACACAGCACTGTTAATTAGCCAATGTCCAAACAATGTATTCGATGTTTATGGAGGATAATCATTTTGGGAGACTGCTTTCAACCCTTGTATTTGCTGCTTTCTGCAAGTGATATACATGCACTGTTCTTGTCAGGGGCCTGGCAGAGTATATAACTTAAGGTTACAGCTATATATAGGTTCTAAAACTTGATTACATGGGAGAGCTAAGGATGAGCATATAGTAAGTAGGCCAACAAGTCAGGTGATTTCAAGTGTATTAACAACTCTAACCTGGAGGTCCAGCAGAAGTTCCATCCTCTTAGGATATGAGATTTCCATAATACTCCACTGCCACAGATTGAAACCCAAAAGGTTGAGAACCGCTGGACTAGAGAAATGTATGACTACTTGATGCCCTTCAGAGTACGAAGAATGACAAGAAACGGAAGTAGTTGAAAGTAACTGGTTTTGAACCTTACAAAAGACTAAACAGGGAAGTGAAGGGCGAGAGACAGTTGGAGATGGTTTTCAAGAACATTCAATTTGGGGTTGTGTGATGGGACATGCTGGGTAGTTCTCCACAGCACCAGGGTTTGGTTAATGGGGTAGAAGGATGGAAGGACAATGAAATTGGGTGGGAAGTGCATGGGGGTCCATGAGGATTTGTAGTAGTGGGGAAGAAAGTGGAGGTGGGGGATACTCACATTGAGAAGGAGTAAATGGTAAGGGACGGCCCATAGATAGGCTGGGGTGACACAACAGGGAGCAGGAGAGTTGGACTGACTATACAGATGAGACACATGCCTAACTGGTTGGTCTGCATGTCCGCAGAAGTGTAAGAGACTGATGAAGTTAACTATAATTCTGCCTGTAGAGAAGCAGTTAAATGCAAAAATACAGATCTCTTCATTGGTGCCACATGTGGCTACTTAGTCATTTAAATAATTTTCTTTGGTTCTCAGTTGGTTTCAGAGTTGTAGAAGAAATACATTTTGTTTTTTTGAGACAGGGTTTCTCTGTGTAAGCCGTCCTGGAACTCTCTGTGTAGACCAGACTAACAGAGATCTGCCTGCTTCTGCCTCCATGAGTGTTGGGATTAAGGGTGTGCGCTACCTTGCCCAGCTTACATTTTGTTTTGATTAACACAATCTTTCTAGTTTTCACAAGATTACTTAAATTGAATTTGGGAATTCTTATTCTTGCCATTTCTTGTTTCTTTCAGTAACTTGGATCCACTTACAGAAACTGTATCCTTTTTTCAGAAAAAAAAGTAAAACTAAGAATTATTTACGAAGAAAGAAAATTGGAGAAACAGAAGGAAAAAAGATGAGTACTGAAAAAAGTTTAAACACCTAGATTTTTGAACACTGTAAGCATCATTGAAAGCAGTTACAGCAATGAGAGCGAGTGTGGTCTTATACTTGCCCACCAACTGAACATAATAGCTTTTATGATAGTAATACTATAGCTCTGCTGCCCACCTTGGCTGTCCACAGCGAACCACAGCAGCAACAGAGTGGTGATTTGGGGCCTGCCTCCCTCTGCTGTGAACCAAATCTAGAGGGGGAGGGTAGCTCAGGGTCCACCTACTCACTCCACAATGTCTCTAGCAGGTGGTCTAGACGGCTAGCGAACTCTTTGGGAAGCACTATACAGCCCTTGTCCGCTGCCCAGTATCCCCCTCTGACAAATTGTTGCTGGTGTGAGTAAAGGGTAATAGATCAGTGGCTTACAACACAAATAGGGTTTCTAGTCCATGCTTCACTGACTACTGCTGATAGGTTGGGGAATTAACTGGTAGCTTCTTACAAGGGCAGAGGAGGCTAATGAAGATTTAGTTTAGTCTCATCAGTCAGAAGACATGCACACTAAAATCATCTGATAACCCAGTTTAATGTATCGGATCATCCATAATTTTAAAAAGATACAAAGCAGTGCTGCTGCTAGGGAAGTTAAGGCACCTTCTTAGAGACTGCTACTAGCACAATCTTTCTGGAAAGGTTTTAGAAGAATACTTGGTATTTCCATTTCTTGAATGCTGAAAATAAGAGCAAACAAGCACTTTATTCCAGGGTTTGGCAAATACAAGATGCATGGACCAAATCTGATTGACCACTCTTTAATAAATTTTCTACAGGGATACATCCCTTTTGGTTAATTTACATACTGTCTGTGACTCTTAGAGTTTGGGTATTATCCTTTTACAAAAGTGACATCACAAAAGAATTATATTGAAAATTTGGAAAATCATTCACCAGTTAGGAAATAATAAATAAATTAAGCTGTCTTCATAAAGGCCTTGAAGGAGTTAAAGGTTTTTATTTTTGGTTATTGTTATTATTTATTTTTAGAGATTAGTAATGACCCAGATGTCCCCTGGTAGAGGGATGAGGTATTTAAATTGTGTCCCCATGTAAAGGAGTGTTGTACAGCAACAGAATCTAACAAGTACAAGCATCAAGAGGCCACACCAGAAACAGGGAGTACAAGAAGCAGAAAGCCTCAGAGTACTTACTGGTATATCTAGGTATTTTGAAGAATTGTGTATTACGGAAATTTTCATTGTATAGTAAAATAGGGAAAACAGTAGACTGCAAATCAACCTGCTTTGAATGGATAAGCCTTAGTGTTTATGTAGGGAGTGGGGATGTTTACGGGAGGTCTCTGGGTTCCCCTGTCAAGAAGAGGGTTGTGGTGTCAGTTGCTAGCTGGCAGGAAGAGCAGCTGGCCTGCCCAGGTGAGTTCTGGAAGAAATGACTACCCTTTAGAGGAGAGTGAAGACTAGCCCTGAGGAGGTTTTCCCTGGAACTTTTTAGTAAAAGTGTATTATTAGTAGCATCTTGTTATGTGATTACAGCAGTAAGGACACTCCAGGTTGAAGAGTGATAAGGTCTCGCTTGTGTCCCAGTCTGGCTTGAACTAGAGATGCTTCTGCTTTCATGCTGGGGCTACTGGCACATGCCGGTCAGTGAAGCATTTCCTTTGACCATACCTGATTTCTTAACAAATTTAATAGTTGCATAACATAGCAGTCACAGTAGAAACTGGCTATTTTCCCAGTGCAATTCAGGAAATATAAACATACTGAGCAGCTGTGTTTGGTAAATCTGAGAGAGAAACTGAATTTCCAGTCACAGAGTAGGTCGATCATGAACAGGACATAATCTCAGATGGATTCAAATAGCCTTAGGTACAATCTGATCAGTGTGGAGGCATACTGTGTAAGAGAGTCTGCTTTCTCCTACATGGTCCCATACCCATTGTACATTTCCAGGCAGTTTGCTAAAGATTAGAGTGATTACAATGTACTAAGCAGAGGATAAAATAAAAATGCTTTCTTTTACGTGTGTGTGGAGAGTGTAGATAGAGGCTACAGGTTGATGTCAGCAGTCTTAATCACTGTCCACTTTATTTACACATCCTCCCCAAATGATGAGCAGTAGCCAAGCCTGGCTAACTTTTATGTGGGAAATAGGTATCTGAGAGCCAGTCCTCACAATTATACAGCAAGCGCTTCATCTACCAAGCCACCTCTTCAGTCTGACAGTAACTTTGTTTGGTCACTCTACAGAGCCCTGGTTGTCCTCGAACTCACTATATAGACCAGGCTGGCCTCAAAGTCATAGAGATTTCAGTGCCTCCTGAGTGCTAGGATTAAAGGCATGCACCACCGTTCCTGGCTATCTGACAGGATATTTTTAAATGATCCCGTGTACACCCCCAAAATACCCTGCAATGAGGAACCTTTTGCTGCTTATTACTCTGCATATTCCTTAACAGGTCTAGTATGGGATTCCTTTTTACTTACAGTACCTTGCCCACTGGCCAGAATATTTCATTGTTGCAGAGGCACCTGGTGGAGAACTAATGGGTTATAGTAAGTACAGTTCCACTAGTACTTTTTTTGGATGAGTAGAGATTTTAATACAGGTTTCAGTCTGCTTTACTCCCGAGACTTTTATGTAAATGGTGAAGGATGGAATTTTATTTTCTGATCTGTTACCAGCACGTTACCACATGTCTTCTTTGTCTAGCCTAGTGATAGGCCGAGAGACAGAGCAGTGAACCTAACAGACATGATTTAAGTCTTTTTGGATCTTTCATTCTGTATGTTAGATTTCTATATGGTTTGCTTGGCATATATGCAGTGATTAAAACATATGCACTTAACTAATTTCTAACAACTCACACTATAAGTTGCTATGATTATATATACATTGTAAACATAATGTAATTTCAAATGTAGCTATTTGAAAGCGAATCCTAAGCTATTTCAAATGTAGCTTATTCAAACAAAAAGTATCCTTAGTCTTCTATGTTGACTAGTTTATCATTTTTAAACAATTTAAGTCTGACTTTAGAAGTATAGAATATCATTTGCAAGTGGAGTTTCAAATCAAAGTATTAATCATTAGCTTGACGACAGAATTTAAAAATTATAACATTGGTGTATTTTTATTATAAAAGATGAATGACAAACAGTAAGTAATCCTACATTTATGTGAAAGTGTTTTAATTTTGATGCAATTTTCTGTTGGCAGTTATGGGCAAAGCAGAAGGCTCAGTAGCTAGGGAAGAGTGGCATGGACATGTCACAGCTCTGTCTGTTGCCCCTGAATTCCGCCGCCTTGGCTTGGCTGCTAAACTTATGGAGTTACTAGAAGAGATTTCAGAAAGGTGAGAGCCATTTTTTAAATATACTGAGTGACTTATGAGCCCTGTTTATTTTGCTGTTGAATATCTGAAGGGTGTTTTCTGTCATTGTGGGGTCATCGCTGCTCCTTTGCTATTGAGGACAACAAACACAGTGTGACCGGCTATAGACCAGCTAGCTGACTGGTTGGAGTCAAAGATGACCAACCTTTCAAGGATGGTTTTCTTGGCACTATGGGAGATATCTCTAGGCCTAAAGTAGTTCAATTTTGAATTTGTTTCTGTTCTAGTAGCTAGTAGCCATCTATAGAAAAGCAGAAATGCTAAGTCCCTTTTTTTTTTTTAAACTATGGTCATCTACTACTGAGGGAGAAGTACATTGTTGAACACTGACTTCTTAAACCCAGAAACACATGCAATGTAACCCATTTCCACTGGTTTTCATGTAAGTTAGTAGTTTAGTCATAGCAGCAAGTGTGAGAAGCCATTTCATAAAAAGGCTGTCATCAAAAGGAAATGTAACAGTAATGGATGTGTGGAGTTTTGATGTTTTCCACCAGCATCTAAATAGCCTGTGACCAGGGATAAGAATGGTGGACATGCCTTTAAAGCAGACAGATCTTGATTTTGATGCCACCCTGATCTGATAGTAAATGTCGGTCAACCATGCATATATAGTGAGGCTCTTGTCTTAAAATCAAATATTCTGAGGCCCTTCTGAGTTTGAGGCACTCAGTGCAGTTTGGTAACTGCCAATAATATGGCTTTTAAAGAAAACTGTTATTCCATCTCCTTCACTGTGAGAGATTGAAAAGCAACATAGTAATGTAAAAAAAAATTCTTCCCCCATTTCCTATAAGGGACAGAAGATGTGTCTGGCATTTGTCAGGTTGCTGATTTTCCCTCTGCCTGAAAGAATGGTGTGAAGGTGGTTGCAGATCTAGAGGCTTTGTTTCCACAGAACTATCGGATTTTAATAAAGGCAATTTCTAAAGAAGTAACTAGTCACTAATGCTCTGAGCCAAACTGCAGATCAGCTTAAAGAAAGAGAATAGTTTAACAGCCCTGGCTATGCTGGAACTTACTTTGTTAGATCAGGCTGGTCTCCAACTCAGAGATCCACCTGTCTCTGCCTCCGTAATGTTGGGATTAAAGGTATCACACCTGGCAACAGAATAGTTGTAGTGAAAAATAAATCTTTGTGATATTTTTAAAGTTCTCCCTGGACTGAATATTAGGAGGAAAATTTTTAGCAAGATAGAATGAACACACATTTACTAATGGCATCACTGTGTAATAGGCAGAGAGGAAATGGCTTTAACAAGCTATAAGCTTAGACATATGTATTTATGGATCTTATTACTAGGTCTTATATGCTATCTGTTTAGGTAGAAAATTACTAATCTGTCTTGGAAGTTCCAATTTCTGAGGCTTCATCATTTTGTGTGATTGTACACATACAAGTGTTATATTCATGTCTTTTTTGGGTGCATATTAAATCAAGTGGAATATGATACTCACGTAGGAGTAAAAAGTAAAAATCAATTCAAAAAAGAAAATTAGCTGTGAATTACTAATGACTACAGTGAAAAGACAGACATGGGTTAACTAAGGACGTAGCTCAGTAGTCAAGTATAAGACCTTGGATTTCCAAAAAGGAAAATAATGCATATTATTCTTACAGGAAATATATGCAAGAGTATAAAGATTGAAAATAAAAATATTAAATTATCTTACAAATTATAGCCAAAAGGAAGTTGATGTCCTCACATTGATATTTATGGTAGAATATTTATATTAGAGTTAACTATCACAGTAAAGGGTCACTGCATACCAATAAACTACTTGGCTGGGAGTCTGGAATGATACAAGCATGAGGGCCTGAGTTCATATCCCCAGAACCTATGTACAAAGCTGAACATGGTAACATACCTCTTGGCTCATAGGCAAGGTGGGAGGTAGAGACAAGAATTTGCAGAAGCTCACAAGCTAGGCTAGACAGCTGGATGTACAGAGAGAACAAGCAAGGAAGGGGAAACAGAGACCCGTGGTTGTTCTGACCTCCACATGTGCACCATGCATGCTCACATTCACAAAGATTTTTAATATATTTATGTATTCAGTCTTCTGTCTGCATGCCACCAGAGGGCACCAGATCTCATTCAAGGTGGTCATGAGCCACCATGTGGTTGCTGGGAATTGAACTCAGGACCTCTGGAAGAACAGTGAAGGCTCTTAACCACTGAACCATCTCTCCAGTCCCTACACAAAGATTTTTTAAAAAAAACTTAATCCATCAAAATGTAACAATGTTATTTATATACCCTGGATACTATAAGAAAAAAATGGATAAGTGGTTAATGAGAGCTGAATGTGCTTCTTTGTTAAAAACTGTCAGGTGAAATCAAGTAAGGTACAGAACATAGAACAGTAAACCTTTTCTAGGGCAGAGGGGAAAGAGTCTGCAACCACATAGGATCGGTTGCATAGGTTCCTATCTACGCAAACAGTTTAAACGCTATTCTTAGCATGAGGGTAGTACAAAAGGCAATAGCTTGCATGTCGGCCTGATGTTAGTAGTCAATAGACTTTTCTACAACAAAAGCTGTGGCAGATTTCCAGGCTAGGTGTGGTAGCTCACACCTGTAATCCTATCATGCAGAAAGATTGTTGTGAATCCAAAGCCAGTCTGGGCAATCCACAGTAGTAAGACTGGACAAAGTGTCTGTGTATAGGGAGTCACTAAAGTAAGGTCAGTTTTACAAAAGCAAAACCAGTGTTTAGGCTAAGATGTCCTTGATAATGTAAGGAAGGAAGATCTGAGGAAATGCCACCAGAGTGCACAAATTACAGAAAAACTATTGGTAAATGGCTTCAGTGAGTCAAAAAAAATACACCAGGAGCCAGTGTTTGACTGGTTATTCATGTAGTGTAAGTAACAAACTAGATACTGGAAGTGAGGAGAACATCCTAACCTGAAAACATCTACACAACCCTGTAGAATATTTAATGACAATGTGCAACCAGGGACAAATATCAGTCAGCCCCTCTTCATAACATACTGGAAATTACATAGCAAAGGAAAGGAAAAGAAAAAATGGAAAAGGACTGAGAGGCAACAAAACTGCTGCAGATAGAATGCTTAAGTACTTGGAACTAGTTAAAGACAATGGAGTTTAATATAGAAACAGTAAAACCTACAGAGAGGTGAGGTATCAAAGCAAAACCATGTGAGAATACTCTTAATGTTTATAAAACTTTATGGGGAGACATTAAAGTGACAGACCTAGCTGAAAATGAACTACCTGTAAATTTTGTGACTGACTGTATGGCCAATGTAATTATTGCCAGAATCCTACTGGGTGGCAGTGGGGGGTAGGGTTAGTGTTAACATAGAAACAAGGAAAAAAGAAACAGCGACAAAAAAAATGACAGAATACTCTTTAACAGTGGGTAGATTTGCCCTATCATGTCCACTGTGTGGTACAGACTATTGGTGCTGGAGCAGCTGTAAAAGTAAAGGAGGACCTGACACCAGAGGCTGCATTGGAGATCAGAGTGGAAAGGTAGACTTTTCAGTAAAGATGATGGGACAAGTGCATGGGCAAAATGTTTCCCTGGTTGCTAATTAATTACATACAAACGCTAGATTTACTAATAATACGGATGTGGAAAAGAACTTTGAGTATAATAATGTAAAGTGTGTTCATGACTCCAGCCAGTAAACAGAACTTAAGTAGGCTGTAAACAGTGCTAACCATACACAGAAGGCTTATTAACGAAGTGGAATAGTTTTGCTCACCCAAAGATAGCCAACCCAAAAGTTTGTTGTAAAATATTTCACACGCACACACACAAGAGAATAGTGATTAGGAAAAGAAACAAAACAGAAAGGGCACTGAGTGATGTACAGAAAGAAATCTAAATGGTCAATAGACATAATCATCTCATTAGTTAATTAGAAATATACATTAATGTCACATCAAGATACCAGGTCTAATATACTAGGAGTGTACTTGGTATAAACAAGTTAGAATGTATTTAATCAGGCTGACAGTGTACATACATAATGACACAGCAATGATATATCCCTAATTAGACATTGTATCATGAGATGCTCAACAAAAGTATAACATCTTTTCTAATAGAACTGAAGTGTTTCCAGAGGAAGGTGAGGATATTAGTTCTAGCAACTCAGGAGGATCAGTGCTCACAAAGGAATCTTCAAACTGTTACTATGCTTATAAATAAAGCTCATAACCAAAAACTAAACCTTCGTAGGTGGTAAACAGAAAGGTAATAGCCTGAATACAAAATTAGGATGTGGAGACCTTCAAAATGAGACATTACAACCAAAGAGAGTATGGTAGTGGATGAACTTTAGGGCAGTTATCAACATCCTATAGCAGCTACAGTTGGATCATTTGTTATAAAAAGATGTCAGCTACAAGTTTGCTATTACCATTAGTTAAAAACCAAGTATTCCTAACAGTTTTAACATTTCTTTTTTTTTTCTTTTTTAAAGAAAAGGTGGATTTTTTGTTGATCTCTTTGTAAGAGTGTCCAATCAAGTTGCAGTCAACATGTACAAGCAGTTGGGTTACAGTGTCTATAGGACAGTCATAGAATACTACTCAGCCAGCAACGGGGAGCCTGATGAGGATGCCTATGGTAAGCTACTTGCTATAGCAGTAACTCCAAGACAAAGTCAAAATAGAAGTTATAACTTCCTCCCACGGGCCTAAATACTCATTTTTAATAAATCCAAAGAATCACATTTATGAACTTAGTAATAGTTTACCACTGGTTGGTTGTCTGAGTTAACTTCTATAAAGATCATTTCATGGTAAAGATGTGTACTTTTACTAAAAAAACATTCTACAGTTGACTTCTAGGTGGGGTTTGGTTAGCACCTGACATACCTGCAGTTGGGAGTCTTTTAAGTACATACTGCTTGGGTTGGTTTGCAAGGAGGGGCACAAAACCTGATGGGAACTTAGCCCACATATTCAATTTGATCTTAAAAAGTTTGGTATTGGTTGCTTACATTAATCTTTGCTTCCTAACAGATATGAGGAAAGCACTTTCCAGAGATACCGAGAAGAAATCCATCATACCATTACCTCATCCTGTGAGGCCCGAGGACATTGAATAACCATAGGCAGTGGTTCTTAGGCAGGTGTTCCAGACAAGTTTGTGGACATATTATTTTCATAGGATGATCCTGGAGCTCTATTAGGAGGAAAGTAATCATTTAGGTCTTAAAGACGTCATGAAAATACAGGCTGTAAACTTCAAATCTCATGGTTCCAATGAGCAATAGCATACATGTTCAAACTGTTTGCCATAGTAAAATTCAATCAAGGCAGCTAAGTCAGAAGGACACGTTCCACTATCATGGTTGACAGTATGCAGTACATGCCAAGGAAAGATTCCCTCCCTCCTCCTAAATCCTGTGCCTGAGAACCACTGCTGCACATATATAAATATATCTATATTTTATTTTGTATTGAATTGTTAATTGAAGCTTTAAAAGCATATATGAAATGTATAAATCTGAGATGTATAGTAAAATACATTGTTGACTATGAATGTTTTCTGATGTTTGTTGTCTTTTAATCAAGATTATGGAGGGGTTGTTTAAGATATTACTTTTATATAAAACATTTGTAAATGCATATCTGAAAACTGGCATAATAATACTTAAGTTTCCTTCTTACAGTGTGAAAAATCCTCTCAAATAATACCTTTCCTACTGCTGGTCCCAGATCTTCTTTGCTAGCACTGTTCAATCCTCCCTTTCAATGTGAGACTATAAAGGGAAAATAGAATCCTAAAGGCCATGTAATTAGATGACAGTTATGTATTGAAATACTCAGGCACTAAAGAAGTAATCAAAAAATTCCCTGTGAAATGACCACTAAAATGTGTTTGTGTGGGCATTTTTTTTTTTCTGAGATAAGGTGTTGCCCAGGCTGGCTTTGAACTCACCTCTAGTAATCCTCCATCTTGCTGTCAAATGGTAGCACCTGATTTAAGCCTGGGGCAAATGAATGATCTTGTTCTCAAGGAGGAATAAGTTTCCTTCAAGCCTTTCATACTGGCACTCAGTTGTTACGAGTGAACTTTAAGAGTAAAGTCCCTAACTTTTGTCTTATGGATAAGCAACATGACAACAGCTCCAGGAAGACTTAGCTATGGAACTAGCATTCTGACCTGCTTTCACCTCCATCTTTAATCTGCACTACCTCAAAGGATATTCAATGACGGATTTTCTTCTTGGCTAGCTGACTTAAGCTGACACCCATGCCTGGTGCTGTTCTGGTAGCTTGAAAATCTATCATTTACTCAGTAGTACTGTTTTCTTCTAACTTCCAAAATTATCTTATTTCCAAGACCTAATTTAGTAACATTACTAAACAGCTTTTATCCCCACGTTTACTAATAGTTCTTATAGGTAAAAAACAATTCTAGACTTTGCTTGGTCAACAAGAAAATATGGCTGTGGAGTAGATTAAAACAGTGCCTCCAAGACTAGGCAAATGCTATTTTACAATGTAAGCAGTACCAACAAGTATGTCACTGTGGGTTCTTTGCACACCTGCTGTTTTATGACAACTGTTAAGCATCAGTTGTTATGAGTTTACATGTTCTATAGCATGCTGGGAGATGCACACTCTCTAGGCAGACTTAACTGTAGAATTCAGGAAGTCTGGGAAGCTGGTGACAGTGCTGTGATGAGTCATGTCCTAAGCAGCATATGGAAGGCTTCAAACACTCTAAAGAGACTCAACAGGGCCTGGGGAGATGGCTCAGCGGTTAAGAGCACTGACTGTTCTTCCAGAGGTCCTGAGTTCAATTCCCGACAACCACATGGTAGCTCACAACCACCTTGAATGATATCTGGTGCCCTCTGCTGGTATGCAGGCAGAAGGCTGTATACACAATCAATAAATAAAAAAAAGGAGACTCAACAAAGATGTTAATGTAAACCCAGAATTTCCCAAACTTATTTGAACATAGGACACTGTGCCTAAGAGCATCAGCATATGCAGAGGCCACTGTTTTCTAAACAAGCTACTACAAAACCAGTTTTAGAAACTGATGGGAGCGAAACTGAAACCAAGCTAAAATGTTCCTGGCAAA